AGAGTGGTCGAGGCAGAACACATAACATCTCCTCGGTCCTGTCAGCAGTCCGCCTCTCACGGCAGCTCTGACCGTGAGTCCCTTCAGATTGAGGAGGGGGGGAGGGGGGGAGGGGGGGGATGAGGGGGAAGGGGGAGACATGAGGCCTTGCTCCACTAGTCACCAAATGTGCAAAATGAGAATGAATCTGCCCCTTGAACATGGACAAAAATGCTGGCATACTTTTTGTCTTCTGTGCCCGAGTAGTGGTTTGTGCCATGAGCAGTGGAGCGAGGCCAATCATAGCACTAGTGCACCCAAGCTCACCACGTGCACAACAGGCAATCTGTATCTTTCCATGTTCCAGAGGAAGATTCATTTTCATTTTGCACATTTGGTGAGTGACTAGTGGTCCCCGGAACAAAGCGCGCGTGCGTTATTTACGAATAGAATGCACGGGGTGCGTTCTATTCGTATACCACACACGTGCGTTATATACGGATAATATACGGTATCAACTTCCCCCCTTCCCCACCCCCCCAAAAAAAAGAAAAAAAGAAAGAAAAGGTATATGCCTCGAACAGGTACCTCCAGTGTTCCCGCAAACAGGACCTTCAGGTGAGAGAGAGAGAGAGAGAGAGAGAGAGAGAGAGAGAGAGAGAGAGAGAGAGAGAGAGAGAGAGAGAGAGTTATATTTGTATACCGCACGCGTGCGTTATATACGGATAATACACAGTACCTACTTCCCCCCTTCTCCCCCCCCAAAAAAAAAGAAAAAAGAAAAAAAGGTATATGCCTCGAACAGGTATAGATTGGAGCTTTGTTAAACAAAAACAAAAAAAAAAAAGGTACCTCCAGTCTTCCAGCAAACAGGACCTTCAGGTGAGAGAGAGAGCGCACAATTCGAATGGCATATAGGTGTGTAATATTTGGATTTCAGGGGGGTCACTTCAGGGCGCGCACTTGAAAAAGAGCGCAGCACTGCCGGCGGGCACGCAGGTGTTCTATTTGAATAGAATAGCCGTTTGTTCGAATAGAACAGACATGCGTGCTATTCGAATAGAACATGCGTGCATAATATTTCTATTTCAGCGGGGACCTTCGAGAAATCTGACTTTTCCATGGAAAGTTGAATTGTACATACATGCGTTTTGTTCTGGGGAACACTGTAGTAGGCCCTCAGCTAGGGAACCTGACAAAGAAGCTAAGGCAAAAAAAAAAAAAAAAAAAAAAAAAAGACTTTAGTAGGCCCGTAGCTACGGAACCTGACAAAGAAGCTAAGGAAAAAAAAAAAAGAAAAAAAAAAGAAAAAAGAAAAGAAAAGAAAAGAAAGTTCTGTTGGTCACAGGGCGTTAGGGCGTTTTTTCTTGCATCATATTTCTGGGCGTTTTTTCTTGCGTCATATTTCTGGACATGATTGCAGTCAGATTCGTCCGGAACTGAGATGCAAGTATGAATCTGACAGCACGCACGCCCAGAATTATGGTGCAAGTCCGTGAGAGGCAGGATCTAAGGGGACATTGGAGCTCACCACACCACTGCAGAAAACATGATTTTTTTAAATTTTTTTTCTATACTCTTCTCTCAACTTCTGTTTCTTTTACCTTCCACTACCTACTCCTAAGACTATCTAGAGGGGACCCCTGCAAGCATAGTTTCCTCTCTCTGTGAAGGGGAGATTTCATGTTGCCCCTTGCCCCTAATGGTTAGGGTATAGGGTTGGGGCCGCCAGTGGGGGTCTGGCTAACACAAAGACGGAAACCTGCCAGTAGCTGTGCCTCCCTGGCTCAGTTGGTTAGGCATGCAAGTGGCATTTAGGAGGTTGTGGGTTCAAGCCCCATGGCCGCCTGAGGCACACTTAGTGCCAACGGACTGTGATAGTCCTCTGGATACCTCTGATTGGTATTATCGGGATCTATGACCAACACGGATGTGAGTGTGAGCGCGAGTGGGTTGTGTGTGGTGTGTGGGAGAGTGTTGGCCATAGCCTCTGCTGCTACTCGATGAAGGGTGGGGGACGAAAACATGATTTTTCATTTTTGATAGTTTCGCTACTTTTTTTTTTTTTTTTTTTTTTTTAGGAGCCGGAAACCTTATTATTATAAGCGAGAAACCGGGTCCCGTGTTAGGCACACAGCCTTTCGAAAACGGCCACAGTAGGCACACAGCCTTTCGAAAAACGGCCACAGTAGCACGGATGGCTCCACTATCACTGGCGGGGGTTGTTTTGTTATTAAAAAAATAAAAAAAGAAAAGCACGGATGGCGGTGCATTAGCGCAGTGGTAACGCTGTGCTAACAAGCCGCCCCAGTGGCGGCGTTCGGGCGATGGGGATTGCTCACGGGGCCGACAAAATCCGTCTGCTTCGATTGCCAAAACTAGGTGCTGGCATGACCATGGCGGCGCAGGGAAGAACACTAAGGTGTTAGGGGGGCGTGCCGAGGGAGAAGTGATATGCTCCTGGTCGTT